TGCTCTCGGAACAATAAGTTCTATATTGAATAGAACAATATTAAAGTTTACTATTGTTGGTATAGAAATATCTTGGTCATTGTTACATGTTATAATTTTTACACCGGATTAATCTTAAATAAACTTAGGGTCTGAAGGTTATATGCTCATCGCAATATTGAAGATCTTGGGTTTGATTCCTGGTGAGGTCATAGAAGGTTTTAGTGTAGTTTTGTTCTCTGAGCTGGGTGATTTGGTCGTCAAGCTTTCATCTTTATTCTGAACGACAACATCATGGATGTGCACTAACAAGAAGTCCCATACTAAAACGAAAGTACAGTTAAATTCTTCCTGGTATTTAACAGTTATCTAACTAAGGTCAGTCGGTGACATAAACAATGAAAATTTCGTTGTGCATGATCACTATTGACTAGCCCTAAAGATGAATTTCATGAAGTTTAATTAAGAGGTCGGTATATTTGGAGTAAGGTTCAGTCAATGCAGCACTTCGCCAATGATAATTGATGAAGAATACACTATCTGAACGATTCACCAAATTTGAAGATCTGAGGAATCGGATTCTGGGTTGTACCTTAAAATAGTGCGCCTACAACCAGACCTGGTAATCATTGATATCTAGTCTTATCCCTATAGGTTCTTGGCTGAGGACTGGTAAGAATTTTCGAAATGAAATAAAAAGACTGCCTAATAATGTCTATATTCAGTTATTCTTTGTCTGATGAAATAAAAATACTATATATATATATATATATATATATATATATATATATATATATATATATATATATATATATATATATATATATATATATATTATGTAGACTCTTATTTCACTACAAAAAATAAGGAAATTCTAATCGGAAAGTGATAACGATCTCAATGAAATAGACAGTTTAAGTCTAGGAAAATCTAAGATTCAGGGATACATAACCATGCATAAACACTGAAATTCAATCACTAACTTCCTTTTCTAATCATTACCGATATCAGGTGATTACTTCCAAAGAATTATTTTTACCATAGTAACACAAAATGTGGACATATTGGAAATTTAATACGTAACACAGACAAACTTAATAGTTTCCTAATTCTACACCACATTTTTAAGAATATTTTCTAACTAGTAACTTGCATTGAAACGTAAATTGAAATCTGGCAGTCAATGTTAAATGGGAAACAAAAAATATTAGAATTTTTTTAGAAAAAAATACTACTTTTGTCTCTCAGTAATTACCATAATCCCAACACATCAAAAGAAAGATTACTTAAAATTCCATGACAAAAATTGGGATAACACAAGGATAAATTTCCAACTATTAACTCAGTGAGTTAACTCTATATCAAACAAAATATTCACGTTCTTGATTTGAAAATGACAAGAAAACAAGATGGAACTCTAGGAAGATCTGTCTACAGGAAACCCATGTGAAATGAACAACTATCAAGCTTCTACAGCTGGGTGCCCAATAGTCGAAAGAGAAACTTAATAATATCACTCGCCACGTGAATACAAGGAATTTGTAGTCCTAAGGTCATAGATGACGAACTGAGCCTCCCGAAGGAGATACTTATCAAAAACGAATATCCTTCAATATTCATTGGTAAGAACCTAAAAAAAAACGCCGAAAACACAAATAACTCCAGTCGAAAAGAAAACATCATACATAAAAATCGACTTTAAAGGTGACAGAGCCACATACGTCTTAAAGAGGAGAATTTCTGATTCTTTAAAAAGAACGTTCTTCGCAGCCAAGTTGTAAATAGTATTCTTTAGCCGTTAATTGTTCACCAATAATCTTAAGGATAAATTATCTCATCTGATCAACTAAGTGTGCACTTACCAATTTACCTGCTCATATGAAGCCAGGTATATGGGTCGTTCGATGAGTACTTTATTCAAAAGAAATCAAGAACATTATCCGGCATGTCTAAGAAAAGGAGAAAACGGCTCAATAAGAAGTTCAATAATCGAATATCTTGTGAACACAGGTCAGTCAATCAAGACAGACTTTGCATTCAAAGTCATCTACAAAGTAAGTAGAAGTCTTCCAAAGACAATTATACTGTGTCCAAAAGAGATTGGTACAACCTCTTCTTCTACCATGGACTTAATGTCTTAAAATTTTTCTAATACTCTTTTTCATTTAAAGCCATCTACTTCCCCTTACATCTTCTCCATTTAATCTTCCGCCCCTAACTGGTTTATTTCTGTTTCTACGATCCTCCTGATTACATTTAATCTCAATTCCAACATTTTATGTTATCATGCTGAACCATCCTTTCCCGATGATAATTGCCCTATCTATCTTTATTATGAGTATTTAAGCCCTTAACAATCAAACGATTATTAGTTTCCCCGTTGAAAAACGTTTTTTAATACACTTGTTTATTCTACCTCACTGTCTAACAGAAGTTTATTATCATTATTATTGTAACTATAATCGTTACGAAAAAAAAGTATATATATTTGCGATTGTACAGCTTTGAAAATGAAGTCGCCGAAAAGAGAACTCTTCGACGAACTAAACTTTCTTATCTAATTTTACAATTGTCATGTGTCCATTATTCTTGTTGTCTACTTACATAACATGAACCAAAATGATACAGATGGATAGTGGCTAGCAGTGGAATCCAGGATGCGCGTTTCGTCCTATTTGAGACTCGTCATCTGGATGTGCCTGCACCTCAGACAGTTGATTTTTACTCAAGGACTCGAACACAGTAACATTCGCTTCAAACGACATCGCGTTATCCACTCAGTTACTGAGTCCTGATAGCCACTTGCTTGTGCAATGGGGTGAATCTGAATTCAAACAACACCAAGTGAATTCAAAATGATACTGTTTAAAGAGAAAGTGTTTTTGTTTTGGTACAGATAATTCACCCTAGAGCTAATCATGCTTAGCAAAATGATTATTTTGAAAAAAAATTTCTTGAATAATCCGGATACCATGTACCATATTGATTTTGAAAAAATTAAAAAATAGAAGTGGAAACTGTTCTTTTTCATGATACAAACTGACAAAAATATCCAACACAAAATAAATTAATACCAGAAGGGGTTTTTGTGGATATTATAGTAATTTCAATAGTTGAGATCGTGAATCAATAAAAGCTAGATCACCATGAAAAACCTGGAAGTAATGAACGGCCCTTTTGTCCCATATTGGGACTCCTCAGCAGTGCGCATCCACAATCTTTAGAGATTAAGTGCTCGTGCACGAGACTGGGTTCGGATTTTGCGTGGGGGCGGGATCGTGGATACGCACTGCTGAGGAGTCTCACAATGGGACGAAACAGTCGTCCAATGTTTCCAGGTTTTCCATGGTGATCTAGCTTCAATTGACTGGTGATCTCAACTATTGAAATTGCAAAATAAATTGTAACATTATGATTGTATAGTGGGAAAAAATCGTGACAAAACCTAAAATATACCCGTATCTATTTGATTAACTAACTCAGTTAAACTTAATTTGATTGATTGTATATGGATAGAATATCCACTATGATAAATTTGACACTATGATTAGTTTATTAAAGAAGTATTCGTTTCTGAAAATATATTTACGAATTATTTATGGCAAACAGTTACTCATTTTTAGTAGACCACTAATTATAATTTCATGGTATTGTGTTCCCTGAACAGAATAATTTAACAACAAAGCTTTCATTATCATTCTGAACAATATTATCGGTGACTCATTCCACTCGATAATGTTATCAAGGTGTACAATTGCAATGTAATCATCTACCTGAGAAAATGTAACACCACTATAAGCTTGCCTTTTCAATAACATATTAAGTTTGACGAAATCCCGAATATTTACAATGGAAATGATAATTCTCTTCAAGTCATTATCTTGATATAAGCAACAATACATACTCAGTAAACTATGATAATAAAAAAATATCTTTCAATTACTAGACCATTAATTTTGTATGACGAATTACTAATTATATAGATACCTACTTTATAGGTTTGTCTAGGTTGTCACAAATATATAATTATATGGAAGTAACTATTGTCATTAATTGAAATCTGTTGGATTGATTATCAGTCTAATTCGTATGGATAAATACCAACGACCTACGTATTGTCAGAGATACTGAATGGTTAAAAAATTGATCGATCAGATGCATTTATTATTATTATTGTTATTATCTTTCTAACATTAAATTTTCGGTTCTCGAACTATGTTCTCTATTTTTTTCTACTGTCAGTGGTAGTATAACTACTTCTATCATTATAGATGAAATTTAGCTTGTTTATTGAATCACAATTTATTGATCTAGTGTGAAAATTTAGGCCAATGAAAATATGTCTCATCTCCTACGGTGCTTGTGACTAGTCGACATCAGTCAAGTAATCATTAAAAACTATAAAACATTAACTGACTATTCTATCCTTAGTGAGACCTATCCATCTTATGATTAACAAATTCTCTTTAAACAACTGTTTCTTCAACTGATATCAGCTTGTAATTCAAAAGTTATTTCAGACTTTTAACATAAGTTTATAGTTTATTTTATAAATTTCATGTAACCCATATACATGTTTATTCACCTCATTTTGAACCATACAATCTATGTACTGATTAGTGATACTATCCATTAATCTAAACCAAACATAATTGGAGGTGGATTGGAACATAGGACTTATTAAGTAAATATTAACTAATTTAATTGCTAACCACCTAACATGATATAACATTATATACATAGAAACATATATCAAAAAAAACTTCTCTACTTTTGTCCCATTCTAATTTCTATTACTTACCCTAAAAAATGTAAACAACAGATCGATAAAACTAAAACAATAATTGAATTTCTATAAACCAGGTTAAACTCTTTCATGAATCTAACTAATAATAATAATTTGTAACCATTCAGGAAAAACAAATAATTGGAAAATTTAAACATAAAAGACCAATAAAACAATAACTCCCTTCTATGATAATCATGACGTGGCTGTCATCATTTCAATGTATGAATGAATATCATGAAAAATTAGCAAAGAAAAAAGGATATCCCCATTCAATGATAATTTTTGAATATTTTCTAATTGCATTCTCTTCAGAGAATATAAATAATGTTTTATGATTGGATGGATGTAATCCAGGTATACCAATGGCTAGTGTACGTCTAGCTAAATTACGCATTGTTTCATCTTTGGACATTTCTAAATTATTTTCATTCTCTTTATGAATATTTAATTTAACAGTTAATGGTATAGTTGAATTGGTAGTGGTTACAGTAGTAATAGTATTAGTAGTAATGTTAGTAGTTGTTGTTGTAATTGTGTGCGTGTATGGTTCTAATTTTCGATAGATTATTCCACTTTTTGAATCAAATTCATCATAATTTTGAGATTTACTATGATCATTTTGATTTGTATAATTTGAAAGATTACTTTTCATTTTTACTATATCAGTTGTTTGATTATCATAATTATGAGTAATTCGATTTTCCTCATTATTCACATTTTCTACCTTGGTTGTTTCCTCTGCTTCATCTGTTTCATCCTCTTCGAGATTATCATCCCGAAACCTATCAGTCGATATATTATTGTTACCTATACTGACTGTATTTGAAACTGATATATCATTAACTTGACTTGTGATACTTGTACTAATGTTACTCTGATTTGACTTATGCATTTCATGACCTCTATGATCAACCATCGTTTTCTATTTGTTAAACCATTTTACATAACGGCAAAACTTTACACTAATCTCCAAGATAACAGAATGACATTTTGAAATAACTAAATTTTAAATCTCCTAGAGGTGAAGTTATTATGGTTTCAACACTTTCAATTCCATAATAGAGAAGACTCTAATAGTTTGCTAGCCTTAATAACTTTTTTTATCATGTAAACTTTTAGATCATTAATACGTACATATATTCATGTACTGGTTGAATTCAAGACCATAGAAGTTTGCTTGTAGACAAATTGATAACTGAATAAATTGTTTGAAATAAGATAATCCACGGATAGTGTTTCATGATTTCTTCTCTCCTGTTGTTGCTGACGTTCCTGTAGTCATTTTTTTTTAATGAAAGTTATTAATCCCGTGAAATTTCGTTATTATTAATTGAAAGAATAGTAAGAATGACTAATAATAATCTGTAATGAGGAGTTCAAAGAAATTATGCATGAGTAGGATAATTATACACATAAATATACATGATAGAAGTATGACTGTCGGCGTCGTTTCTGATCGATAGATAGACACATACAACTTAGCGATTTTTCCTCATAGACAAAATAGTGGAACAAACACAAACCAGAAATTATTTTATTTAACTGTCAGATATGAACTCAATAAAATAACATATATATATATGAATGTTACTGTCCACATATACACACATACACAATTTGAGCATACTCATAAATGTGTATATGGATATGTTTAAATTATACATATATATGTACAACAATGTCAGAAATGTCTTGGATAACACCTGTCTAACACGTGAACAGATATGTCTCTTTCTCCAATCTAATCATAGGCCAATAAAAGGAGTGATCGAATTTCCCCACAATAACAAGAAAAAATTGGTAAAGAAAAATCAGATATGAGGACAGCTAAGCACTCTAAAAGAAAGATTTCATTGTCCATTCAAAAGTCATGTATTTAATTTGTAGAAATTCGTCAATAAGAAAAATTCTATTTGATTAAAATATAAATGAAAGAATATATCTTGAAATTGGTATTAATTCCATACCCTAAGCAATTTCGCACAAGAGAGTAAGCTTGTGTAAAACATAATAATTATATTGTATGTGTGCAATAGATTATGTGGCAATAGATATAATATTAACATATAGGTGGTTGGAGGTAGTCGGCAATAAATCCTCAGTCAGTCAGTCAGCTAAAACGTAGGACCCGGCACATATATGCATCGGTCTAAGTTGCCATACCTCATTAACACAACCCGACCGTTGTTGCTACCTTGACGTGGTGGTCAGGCTTGCCTATCTTGATGAAGCAATCGAGCTATACTGGCTGGAACAACCGTTCCTCTAGGTCCTACCATGTCAGACAGGTTGGTTGAAGAGCGGTAAGACTAAAAGCAACAAACCCAAGGTCTGAAGGCGAAGTCGTACTGCTGACTGTACACAGGTGTGACAGCAGTAAGGTGTTTCCTTCAGACAACCAGCATGACAGCGATGCTGCCTTTCCACAAGGAGGGTTGTGGTTAGAAAAGGTTGACCCTAAAAATGCACACCTCGCCTTATCCCACGGATATCCGTCTCCGGCGGTAAGGTCTCAACAAGTACGGAGCTAACACAAAAATTACCCATAAAATGGTCGTGTGTGACCGACCTCAAGCAGTTGTCTCTTGGGCATTGCAGTTACGCTCTCAGGTCACTAAGACCACCTCTAATCCAATTTCCTTTTCAGGCACCTCCAGGAGAACCCTTCCACGGTGTGGGCAACCGGGAAGTGATAACCGCCCTCATACCTCTAACAGCACTCAAGACCACTGTATTCATAATCAACCTCCCCCCTGGCGATAAATCCTGGACATGGATTTCGTGCTACTTGACACTTATCAGTAAAACACATTTGCAATATTGAAGAAACTGGTGTTCCTTGGCCGACTTGATTCAATATCACACGACTTCATAATTTGAGACGTTGCCACTGAGATAGTTAAGCTGCGAATGACTCCTCTATAACTGACATATTCACAATAGATTATTTAGTGAATAGTAACCAAATCTATTTTTAGGTTTTCTTGTTGATTATATCTAACCATCCTATACAAATTCACAGAGAAACCCTATGTTAAGTTAATCAAACTAATGACCATATTACAAATCAATCGATAGGTTTCGACTACTAATAAAGAATCAGACAAACATGGTATCGGAAACTACTCAGTGATCAATTAGTTATAGTATGAATTAAGGCTACTAACTAAAAAGACGTTAGAAACTCTTGCTAAAATCGCTGAGGCAATCGATTAGCTTGTCTACTTGAAAAATCTAATTCATTTTCAATTTTACCTTTCAATATCTAGTGTGTTGTTACACATTAAATACAATAGTTAATCTGAATTGTTACCATTTATATTTAACTGTTTATTTGTAGTAAACTGGTATCTTAGCATCTCCAGTTTTTAAATAAGTTAAACTGAAGCCAATTAGAAAGATTATTTCTTCTGGGGATGCTAGATTCCTAGAAGTCGCTTAGTAAACGTCTTACTTTTGTAATTTTATTTCAAAATTTTGAATTTATCATTTTCGTGCTAAAAGTGCCGATTATTACCTTCAGTTTTTATTTACCACTTGGAAGGACCTTAAATATCAATGGCTCATTCCCTCTATTAATATGCTATTTTGTGACGTTTTCTAAAGACATTTTTATACTTTGGTGGAGTTTTGTTCTCTGAGCTGGATGGTTTTTTATACTGTGTATATACCCTTGAGTTGTGTGCTTGTTCGTCCGTGCTTCCGACTGCTTGTGGAATATACTTTTCCCTCTGCTGAACTTGGTCTTCTCCCTCAAGTTAGCAGGGCTGCGATCCAGTGAATGGTTTAGTTTGTACTGTTGTTATGTTGCTAAATTTCTCTCCGTTTCTCCGGTTTAGATCATATCGTTATCTCTTTAAAGGTAGCAATTTTTCGTCAGGAATTGAGTTTTTCAAGAACTATAAGAAGATACTAGGAAGCATCAAATAAATGTTTTATTCTAATTATGACTTTTCTGTGCTCACAATTACAAACGGGATCATATTGAACATCTTCAATAAAAATAATGAACTTCATTAAACCAACTTTTCCTTTGCCTCTTAAATTTTGAATGATTCTCGAGCTATATCAGTCTATAATGAGAAATTATCTTTCATATATTTGTGTTTTAATTATCTTTCAATTAACATATTCCCACAAACTAACCTAACGAAAATGATTAGGTCACAAATATATCTTAAGAAATAAAAATTTTAAAATTCAGTTATTGTTTTGTCAATTTTCGTGAACATTCACGAACATCCACGGATAGGAATTAGATTAAGAGAACTTTAATATTCTGGATGGCAGAAATTCAAAGAATTCCAAAGAACTTCTGGAAGTGTGGGATTCGATCCAGTTATTAGTTAATCATACATATATCTGTTCCTGTGTATTAGCATAAACAACGTTATACCGTGGTGTTTAACAACTAATCGGTATTCGTGTTGACGCAGATGAAGAAGTCAGTAATTTCATCTTATATACTGTTCCCTGTAGTTACTCCAGTTTATCATGTAGATACTTTTTAATGTGATTGCTTTCTTTATTACGTTCTTTAGTTGAACAATACTGATCGTGAAGACTTTGTGGAATTGTAGAATGCACCTATTACTAGTGGCCTTAGTAATCTGTTTTTGACATGTGAGATGCTTTTAATGCATTTCAGGATTATCTGTCTTTTCAATTTTATTATTAATTTTATGCCAGATAGTGGGCCCGATAAAAATTTCTGGACGAAGTTTTGGGAGAAGTCATTATTCCCAATACATTCGTCAAGTATTCCATTATATTTATTAGCGTAACAGTGATCCTGCATGGTGTGTTAATTCTTTGGAACAAGGTTTGTAAACAGCTCAATTTACGGATCATTGGGTTGTCGTTGCAGTAAGTGAATCTTTGATCAGTATAGGTTGGCTTCAGTACACTTGAATCTCAAGTTTGCACATACTGGTTATGATGATCAGGATTTCGAAGAATGACAGTGTGTTTTCTGGTTTCGCTTGTGATGTAAACATTTCATCATCAAAAACATTTTCGGACCAAATTGTTAATAATCTACCGCTAATCATTTTTGGCTACGACAAATATGCCGTCTTCACGGCATTTTCAAAGTTTTTGGCTTGATCATTGATAAGACTGAAGATTTCAGTCTCAATTATGGTTTCTTCAGTTAAACAAGATACTAATGATATCCCTGGGGTTCCTTTAGTTTGTTTGTATATGTTACAGTTGAATTAGAACTATGTTTATACACGTACGCTGATGGCAGCAATTGAGTTTTTACATTAGGTTTTTGTGTGTTTGCAAAGGTTTGTATTATTGATGTGGATAAAGGATAGATTTTGGTTCAATTAAGTTGTATAAGGCTTTGATGTCGAAAGATGTCACCAATCCATCATTGGAGATTTCACAGTCGGCAACCTTTTGTTTCTTAATATTATTGTAATCTTTGTAACTCATCTATGTTAGGCAACTGATACTTATTCTTATTGGCAAATTTACCTTATAAAGTATTAGGTTTATCTTGACTTAATTTAATTGAAAATTATATCTTTCATCGTCTTAACAGAGTGAATTGTCGCCATTAAATGTTGTTGTGTATTAGCCTTTATTCTATCTGTCTAATTTAATCTAGCCTATGTACGTCCTTACTTTGTTCTATTCAAATCATACAAATCGATGACAGATATTGGTAACTAATCGTCTAATCATGGCTAAAAATTGATTAAGAAACTAGTGAGGCGAAACTTCGTATCATCTACAACTCAAGAAATAACCTGAAAACTTTATAGGGTGTTTGCACGAGAATTCCGACACTTCATAACTACAAACATTTTGTAAGACAACTCTTTCGGCTCCACCTGGAGTCTTTCTAGGGTTCTATTCGACCTCAAAACCAGATAAAAGTAAGAGATTTGGGTGTGTAATTTGTAA